AGTTGGCACCGAGGTTTGTTGCAAGGTAAAGGTCACTCTTACAGGCTTTTAATTATGTTTGTGTGGTTTTTTTTTAAATGTTGGTTCCTTGTTACCCACAACCATGCTTTTTATATGCAGCCCAATAAGATGTTAAGATTCCCTCCATTTCTTGTCTCCTTCCAAACCATTATGTGTAGGTGGTTTCAAGATTACGTTCAATATCCTTTCTGATGCTTGACCTCTGATTTGCTCTCTGTCATTGAGTTTTTGGCAGTAATCCACCCACCTGCCACTGTCCATCGCCAAATCTTCAGCTCAGGAATGAATCAAATACCCTTGCTACTTTCTCTGAGGTTTTTTGTGTCTTTAAATGTTCTGTGAGTTTAAACAGATGACTTGTGAAGTATAAGGTCCAGACTGCTCCCAGCCATGATGCTGGTGTGCCACTAAGGAGCATGCAGTGAGCACCCCACCCATCCTTGTATGATCCTGCGAGGCCTCATAGCATTGCAGTGTGCATCTGTGGTGATTTTCAACTTGCGATTGCTCCCTGGTGTGTGCTTGGGGTGCAAATTACCCTGCCGGAATGGCAAGCAGGAGGTGAACACATGGCTTCGACTCATATACCGCTATTCTCAATGCCCCACAAAGCTAGCTGGTTGTAAAAGGGGCTGGGGACTGCACCAAGTGAAGGGATGGAGTCACATCTGCTCTCCCCACCTGTATTGAGTAGCTCTGGTCTCCTGAGACATAGTCTCTCCTGGAGCTCTCTCTAGGGCTGTATATCCCCCAAATACAGGCCAGTGACAACTTGACAATGTGTCTCTAAATCTGGGCCAAACCAGGGAAACTCTTCTACCCCCCCTACCAGCCCCGGAGCGCTTAAAGGGGCACGGTGTGCCCACAGTGCCCATGCCAGTTGCAAGCCTGCCAGCATCCAGCCAGCAGACCCTGCACTTGGCACGGGATGAGCCAGCCACCCGCTGCCACCCAGCCCTCCACCTCTTCCTAGGACCAGGCTGGCAGCTCATAGGATCCTGCCCGGGGCCGCAAAAGGCGAGCGTCCGCCTGGTCTAGTGTGGAGATCGCGGACCTCATCAAGGTTTGGAGGGAGGTCTTCAGCATCCATGATCTCCACACTAGGCACGGGAAGGCGGACATCTACAGCCGCATGGCTGCCAGCCTGGCCACCAGAGGCCACATGCGGACCCAGGTGCAGGTCTGCATGAAAATCAAGTTGGAGAGCCTAATTCGAACTACAGTACCTACTCCGTGCCGCGTGTAGCCGCAGGCACAGAGTCCGCACTAAGGGGGATTTAAAAATGGCAGCACCCGGCAAGATGCAAATGAAGCCCAGGATATTTAAATCCCGGGCTTCATTTGCAACTTCGAATGCCTACATTAGCCACCCTAGTTCGAACTAGGGTGGCAGTGTAGACATACCCTCAGATTTTATTAATCATAGAATCATAGAATAATAGGACTGGAAGGGACCTCGAGAGGTCATCGAGTCCAGCCCCCCGCCCTCAAGGCAGGATCAAGCTCTGTCTACACCATCCCTGACAGATGTCTATCTAACCTGTTCTTAAATATCTCCAGAGAGGGAGATTCCACCACCTCCCTTGGCAATTTATTCCAATATTTGACCACCCTGACAGTTAGGAATTTTTTCCTAATGTCCAATCTAAACCTCCCCTGCTGCACTTTAAGCCCATTACTCCTTGTCCTGTCCTCAGAAACCAAGAGGAACAAATTTTCTCCTTCCTCCTTGTGACACCCTTTTAGATATTTGAAAACCGCTATCATGTCCCCCCTTAATCTTCTTTTTTCCAAACTAAACAAGCCCAGTTCATGAAGCCTGGCTTCATAGGTCATGTTCTCTAGACCTTTAATCATTCTTGTCGCTCTTCTCTGTACCCTTTCCAATTTCTCCACATCTTTCTTGAAATGTGGCGCCCAGAACTGGACACAGTACTCCAGCTGAGGCCTAACTAGTGCAGAGTAGAGCGGCAGAATGACTTCACGAGTTTTGCTTACAACACACCTGTTGATACAACCTAGAATCATATTTGCTTTTTTTGCAACAGCATCACACTGTTGACTCATATTCAACTTGTGGTCCACTATGACCCCTAGATCCCTTTCCGCCATGCTCCTTCCTAGACAGTCGCTTCCCATCTTGTATGTATGGAACTGATTGTTCCTTCCTAAGTGGAGCACTTTGCATTTCTCTTTATTAAACCTCATCCTGTTTACCTCTGACCATTTCTCTAACTTGCTAAGGTCATTTTGAATTATGTCCCTCTCCTCCAAAGAAGTTGCAACCCCACCCAGTTTGGTATCATCTGCAAACTTAATAAGCGTACTCTCTATCCCAATATCTACATCATTGATGAAGATATTGAATAGTACGGGTCCCAAAACAGACCCTTGAGGAACTTCACTTGTTATCCCTTTCCAGCAGGATTTAGAACCGTTAACAACAACTCTCTGACTATGGTTATCCAGCCAATTATGCACCCACCTTATCGTGGCCCTATCTAAGTTATATTTGCCTAGTTTATCAATAAGAATATCATGCGAGACCGTATCAAATGCCTTACTAAAGTCTAGGTATATGACATCCACCGCTTCTCCCTTATCCACAAGGCTCGTTATCCTATCAAAGAAAGCTATCAGATTAGTTTGGCATGACTTGTTCTTCACAAACCCATGCTGGCTATTCCCTATCACTATTACCTTCCAAGTGTTTGCAGATGATTTTCTTAATTACTTGCTCCATTATCTTCCCTTGCACAGAAGTTAAACTAACTGGTCCGTAGTTTCCTGGGTTGTTATAATTCCCCTCTGTAAAAAGGGAAACAAGATTTGCCCTTTTCCAGTCTTCTGCAATCTCTTCTGTCTCCCATGATTTTCCACAGATGATAGCTAGAGGCTCAGATACCTCCTCTGTCAGCTCCTTGAGTATTCTAGGATGCATTTCATCAGGCTCTGGTGACTTTCAGGCATCTAACTTTTCTAGGTAATTTTTACTTGTTTTTTTTTTACTGTATCTGCTAGTGGGAAGGGGGTAGGTTTAGAATTCACTATGCTAGGCATTCCTCTTATTTAAGTTACTAACCAGTTGATCCACATTGTTCTTTGGACATATCCGTATCTTCATCCACATGAATTTTCTCCCCATGAGCAGTTTTCCTTATGATGTTTCTTCTTGCAACAAGGCCATACATCATCTTGCCTTTGCTCACACTTGACATAGTTTTCCTTTTGAACCAAGGGAATTAATTTCTTCAAAATATTCCCAGATAGGATCTCTCTTACATCCAGAAATCATGACAGTTTTTCTGTGGCAAAAGTGTGTGTGGGGGGGAAATATAGGAAGCTATATGTGCACTAAAATGTCTTCCCTTCCTCTTTTTTTGCCATATTTTGTATCTTTCCTACGTAGCGGAATTGTTTGCTTTTGGGCCCTTAACAACGTCCCTTTGAAATACTTCCAACTCTCCTCAGTTGTTTTTCCCTTCAGTCTTGCTTCCCATGGGACCTTACCTACAAGTTCTCTGAGCTTATCAAAATCTGCCTTCCTGAAATCCATTACCTCAATTGTGCTGGTCTCCCTTCTACCTTTCCTTAAGATCATGAACTCTATTATTTCATGATCACTGTCCCCCATACTGTCTTCCACTTTCAAGTTCTCAACTAGTTCCTCCCTATTTGTTAAAAATCAAATCCAGAACAGCTTCTCCTCTGGTTTCCGCAAAAGCAGCTGCTTTTGCAGAAAAACTTGCCAGCTGTCTACACTGGCCGCTTGAATTTCCGCAAGAACACGGACGATCTCATGTAAGATTGTCAGTGTTCTTGTGGAAATACTATGCTGCTCCCGTTTGGGCAAAAGCCCTCTTGTGCAAAATGCTTCTGCGCAAGAGAGCCAGTGTAGACAACGCGGTATTGTTTTGCGCAAAAAAGCCCCAATCGCAAAAATGGCGATCGGGGCTTTCTTGCGCAAAACTGCGTCTAGATTGGCACGGACGCTTTTCCGCAAAAAGTGCTTTTGCGGAAAAGCATCCGTGCCAATCTAGACGCTCTCTTCCGCAAATGCTTTTAATGGAAACACTTTTCCATTAAAAGCATTTGCGGAAAATCATGCCAATGGGGTGTGTCTAGACTACAATCAGCCTATGGGGTGTGTCTAGACTACAGGGTTTTGTTGACAAAAGTCCACTTTTGTCAACAAAACTATACCTGCGTCTACACTGCCGCTGAGTTCTGTCAACATAACGTCGACAGAACTCAGCAGTTTTGTCGACGGCTGTAAACCTCATTCTACGAGGAATAACGCCTTTTGTCGACAGAGTTCTGCCTACAGAAGGTGTTATTGCATCTACACTGTCCTTTGCGTCTACACTGTCATGTCGACAAAGCGGCTTGCTTTGTCAACAGAACTGGAAGTAGTCCAGACGCTCTTTGTCGACAGAAGCTTTGTCGACAGTATCTGTCAACAAAACTTCTGTCGACAAAAGCCTGTAGTCTAGACGTACCCTATGATTTCATGATCACTTTCACCCAAGCTGCCTTCCACTTTCAAATTCTTTGGTAGTACTTCAGTATTAACCTGAAGTACTACCAAAGAGCAGCTTTCAAGACATTACTGGGTAACAAAAAGAGGAAGGGAGAGAGAGAAAGAAGGCTTAACAGCTGTGAAACCAGTGGATCATACAAGGAATTTACTATGGGAGAAGAGCCACTGAATACATCTTTACCCCACAAGCTGAGGCTCTGCTCTTAGGATTTAGTAGAAATCAAATATGAAAGGAAACTTTGTTACAAGAATAGTAAAAAACTAAGAGAGGCAGAAGACATCACAGCTAATGGATCAACTCCCCAGCTAAATACTCCTGGAAGTGAAAGAAGAAAAATACTACAGTAACTTCTCGCTAAACTTAGTAATTATGTTCCTGAAAAATGCTACTTTAAGTGAAACAATGCTAAGCAAATCCAGTTTCCAAGAATTTATGTAAATAGGGAGGGTTAGGTTTCAGGGAAATGTTTTCTGCAGAGAAAATACAGTATATACATGTACAGTACAAGTTTTAAACAATTTTAAACAATTTAATACTGTACACAGAAATTATGATTGTGAAGCTTGGTTGAGTTCATAAAGCCAGAGGATGGAATATTTCCCAGGGAATGTCTTGCTACTAAATGACAAACTAGCACTATGTGAACCCTCAAAGATTAACACATTGTTCTTAAAGTCGCCTTACACACTTACAAGGCAGCATGGCCGGGACAAGGAGGGAGGAAACAACAGACCTGTTTTGTGGAGATGAGGCATAAAGTAAGAGGGCTTGATCAGGTAAAGGGTGACATCCTCACATCAGCACCCCTCTCCACTTTCCCCTCCTCCAACACACAGCAAGCAGGGAGCTCCCACAAGCAGCTTGAAGGCAGAGGGCAAGGAGAAACACAGAAGTGGGGGGAGAGGCAACAGAACTGCTACTGGCAGCTGTCTAGCCACATATAGTACTTTACAGGGAACTTAGGGGAGCTGTTGGGAAGATAGGGGCGTTGCCAGCCTATTCTGGTTCCAAGCCCCAATAAAGGCAGCCTGCTTTTCCAGAAAATCCTGCAAGTAGTCGGCCAAACAACATAAGCAAGCATTACGTATCTTTAAATGAGTATGTGCTCTAACAGATAAGCAATGTAACAATGAAATAATAACCGAGCAACATTAAGCAAGGAGTTACTGAATTACAGAGCACTCTACACATTAAAACACTATGCAAAATACTGATAAAAGGACAGAACTAGGGACGGTTTTACCTAAAGGGAGACAAATGTTATTAGAAACCCAAACATCCACATTAGCCACAGAAAAAAGTCATTTCCTCCTTGCAGAAGAAAACATTTTAACTGCTTTGACCGCCCATCCTCATTTGCAAGTGTTATCACCACAGCTTTGCCTTTTTATTTGGTGGGGGGGGGGGGGGGGGGGTGAAATTAAGAGATAGTATATTTTAGTGGCCTAACTGCAAGACCATGAACTTTCTTGCTTTCAACCCCAGCTTTTACAATAATTAACTGTATATATAGGCAACAAAGTCACCCTCACTATTTCACCTCTGTAGACTGGCGTGAAGATTAATTTTATATTTTCAAGCTACTGCAAACATATTAATCCATATACAAATACAAAAGTTAAGAACGATTGTTATACTCGCTATTTGGCATGGCACAGGGGGACAATAGAGAATACAGTAAATAGTATATCTTCAGGAATAAGACTTCAATTTTGATACTTAACTCAAACAAAAACGTACACTAAAACTAATTTCTACATAAGCAGCTGTTAATCATGTTTAGGTAGGAGGAAGTGACAGATATACATGGTGTGTTAGACTCACCTCTGTCTCCATGTACTTTTCCATCATAGTTTTTGATCAATTCTTCAATAAAGGTTCCATCCTGATCAAGAACTTCATCTCCCATGTAAGGAATGTTATGTAAAACCGTTTCATCCTCTACCTAAAAGTAACATGGGAAGGTTAAGGTTACAATAAAAGCAAAACCAAAAAAAGCAGTTATGTAGCACTTTAAAGACTAACAGGAGAGTTTATTAGGTGATGAGCTTTCAAGGGGCATCATAAAAGCAAAGACATTCTCTCAGGGAACACACAAGAAAAATTACTTGCAAAAATTACCAGTCCCCCGTTTCAGCAGTGTGACTATCCCAAACCTCTGATGACATGTGGCATTCCACATAAACATACAATTACTCTGAAATAAAGTCACTTTTTTCTGGACTACTATATTCACATGGGCTGTTATTATGGTTATTGTTATTTCACCATAACAATTTCCTTCTTCACCCCTCACAGAGACAAGCCCTTATCCTTGACAGAACACTCATGTTAACAGATTAAATATTTGTTGATAAGAATCCTTTTACAATAATTTAAATAAGATAGACCTATCTTACCTTTGGTTTTAAGGGATAGAGAAGTGAAAGCAAGTTCCTCACCCTGTGCAGTAATGATTATTCTTCAAGATGTATGTCCCTATGGATGCTCCACTGTTGGGTGACAGATCATCCCGGAGCCGGAAATTGGAGCTTTTCAAAGCAGTTGTCAGTTGGGCCACGCATGCGTGAAAGGTGCCTTACGCACGCAGCTCGATCTTCCTTCAGTTCCCTGTCTATGCCCAAGTAAACAGGTACTCCGAAGCAGAGGGGAAGAGGGTGAGTTGTAGAGGACCCATGGGGATAAACATCTCAAACAACAGTCAGTACTGCACAGGGTGAGGAACTTACTTTTCTTCTTCGAACGTGTCCCCATGGGTTCTCCATGGTTGGTAACTATAAAGCATTGACCGATCTGGGCGATGGGCTTCAGTCTCACCACTTGATGGCCGAGGATAGGACCGCTGTGGTCAATGCATCATGAGATGGTAATTGAAATAGGCATAATGTTTAGCAAAAGTATGCTTGGCTACCAAGTGGCTGCCTGGTAAATACCCTTGAGGGCAACATTATAAAGAAATACTGTGGATGCAGTAGCACAGATGAAATGTGCTCTTGGAGGAACTGGCAAAGTCTTCACAAAGCATACCATCTCACTATACATAAAGATATCCAATTGCAGATGCGTTGTATGGAGACTTGCATACCCTTCAAGTGTTCTGTGATAGAAACAAAAAGATGCTGAGACCTACAGAAATCTCACGTTCAGTCTACGTAAAAAGCAAGAGCTCAAACATCCAAAGTATGTAGAATAGCATCTGAGGGGAGACACATGGCTTTGGGTAGAAAGCAGGTAACACACTGGGTTCATTGATATGGAATGAAGTACATACTTTTGGTAGAAAAGTAGGATGAGGTCATAAAGTATCTCTGTCTTTTGCAAAATCTGTAAGGTGGGTCGACAATCAGAGCCCCGATCTCACTGACCCTCCTGGCAGAGGTAATTGTGACCAGAAATGTTACCCTGATAAAGAAAAATGGAAGGGAGTAAGTCTCCATAAGCTCAAAAGGAGACTGCATCAGGGAATCGAAGATTAGGTTTATATCCCATGCAGGCACTGGGACCCTCTAAGAGGAATAAGAGTTCTGAAAACCCTTAAGGAACCTTCTTGTAATCGGGTGCAGGAAGATAGAAACTCCTTCAACTGGTTCATGAAAGGCTGTAATTGTTGCCAAATGAACCCTTATAGATTAAATGGATAAGCTTCCAGTTTTTTGTTTGAAAATATAATTGAGGAGGATATGAAGTGGAGAGACGCAAGGGTCAATCTGTCTCTGCAGGCATCAGGAAGACAAACGTAGCCATTTGCAGAAGCAGGCTGTGTGAGTGGAGAGCCTCCTGCTATGTAGGAAAACATCCTCCTGTTTGAAACAGGAATCATGGAACCTGATAGAAGCCAGGTGTTTAGGTGAAGAGTATGGGGTTGGGGGTGCAGGATTGTCCTGTGACCTCAAGAGAATAGATTGTGGCAGTCTGGAAAAGGGTATGGCAGTAGAAGAGACGTGTGATGGAGGATGGAAACCAGGTCTGCCTGGATCACAAAGGAGCTATCAAGATGACTTGAGTGCCATCCAAATGGATCTTGTGCAGAACCCTCAGGTTAAGAGGGTCAAGGGGAAAGCCGTAGTGAAGTGGTGCATCCCATGTCACCAAGAAGGCATCCCCCATAGATCCTTTGCCCAGACTCCCACGAGAGCAAAACTGGGGGCACTTGGCATTGAGGTGTGATGCAAACAGATCTCTTGGTGGGAAACTCCATCGCCGGAAAATTGAAGTGAGGACCCGAGGATGAATTTCCCACTTGTGATCCGTGGAGAAATTGTGGCTGAGGGAATTGCCATAGTATTGTTCACCTCGGGTACGTACAATGCCACAAGGAGTGTGACCTGATATCAAATGCACCAGTTCCATAGGAGAATTGCCTCCGTATACAATGAGCAGGAACGTGTACTCCCCTGTCTCTTTATATAAAACATTGTGGTCATGTTGCCCGTGAGAACGTCCGCTTGCGGATGTTGGGAGTAAAGTGGATACAGGTGTTCCTTACAGCTCTGAGCTCGAGAAGGTTGAGATGCAATCTGGCCTCCTGTGGTGACCACCTACCTTGAACCACGTGAGGTTGTGGATGAGTTCCCCAAACCAATAGGGAAACAACAGTTGTGATCTGGCCTGAGGACTCAGGTTAGTGAAAAGGGACTCCAGCAAGGAGGTTGACTGGGGATGCCCACTACTGAAGTGAGGTGAGACGGTCTCAAGGAACAGTTATGGACTTGTGCAAAGGGTGGCAGGATGGGACAGACAGATACAAGCCAATGCTGGAGAGAATGGAAATGCAAGTGAGTGTGTTGAACTACATATGTAGTTACAGCCATATGACCCATGACCTGGAAACAGATAAGAACTGTAGTGGAAGGGCTTGAGGATAGAATCATGAAATGATGGTGAGATAAGTATGCTTGAGCTGATACTGAATCCAGGAGCTCCAAAGAACTCTATGGCTTGAGCAGGTTCGAATGTGGATTTCTGTTCATTTATGAGAAAGCCTAGCTGACTGAATAACTGTCTGGTTCTGTGAACCATGTTGGCAGGATTGTCCTTTTATAAGGCAATCATCTAAATAGGGAAAAGTGATAACTCCCTGCCTGCAGAGGTAGGCTGCAGCCACTGCAAGAACCTTTGAGAAAACCTTGGGGACAAAGGATAGTCCAAAGGGCAGGACTGTACTAAGGATGTTAAAATACAGTTAATTGACTAGTCGATAGGTACTTGTACATGTCAAAGGAGGAATGCGAAAGAGCCCCTGTTGGGGCTCTTGTACATTTCAAAAGAGGAATGCAGAACTCAGTACAGCCCGGGGCCAACGGGAGGTCTTGCCGACTCTGGGCTGCACGCAGATGCCTTCTTTGAAATGCACAAGAGTCCTCACCATGCTGCTAGAAACCCGGGGTCAGCTGGGACTCCTCAGCTGATCCCAGGCTCCGCATGGCATTTTGGGTTCTGGGGAAATGCCACGGGAGCCCGGTGACTAGTGAGTGCCATAAGGGCAATTGTGTGGCCTTCATGACTGTTAGTTCTTAGGATCGGTCTTTTGCCATCAGTTCTGCCAGTTTGGAGTAACTGTCAAAATCATGATTAGCTAGTAAAGCTGAGTAGTTCACAATCCTCAGCTGGAAAGTGAAAGAGGAATAAATTTTCTGACCAAAAAGATCCAACCTTTGGTTCTTGTCATTAGCCGTTGCTTTGAACTGTGGAAACTTAGCCCTGTGCTGGGCTGCTTCAATGATGAGGGAGTTTGGCTGCAGGTGTGAGAACAGGAAGTACATATCCTTAGCAGGAACTAAATACTTCCTGTTTGCCCTCTCGGCTGGTTGGCTGAATGGAGGCAGGGGTTTGCTATGTCTTGTCTGATGCTTCCACTATCACCTCGTCAATAGATAGGGAGATTTTCCCACGAACCGTAGGCTGGAGTATTTTAAGGAGCATATGCTGCTTCTCCTGCACTTCCTGGAGGGGAACTTCTTGACTAGCGGCTACCGTTTAAAAAAGTTCTTGAAATTGTTTTGAGTCTCCTGCTGACCCATCCCCAGCAGATATCACCGCTTCATCAGGTGAAGAGGAGGAACTGTCAGCCAGCAAAGCTTGTGGGTCAGCGGCCTCCTCCTGGATTTGGCCTTCCTCTACCACTGAGTCCTTCGTGGGAGGAAGATAGTGGGGAGACAGCCCTCCTCTTAGATGTTTCAGACTGGGCTTGAGGCAGCTGTTGGGGCTCTGAAAATTGCATAGCCTTGCCCAACAGCATCATTCTGAGCTGTGACTCCCTGTCTCTCCTCACTCTGGCTGTTAGGCTGCAGCAGTGGTCACAGTTCTGAGAGACATGAGTGCCCCCCAGACATCATATACAGGAAGAATGGCTGTCCAAAATCGACATGGAGTTGTAAAGTGTGTCACATTTCTTAAACCCGGTGAGCCTGGTATAACTGTGGGAAGGCTTCCAAGATCTTTGCTTTGCATTTCCTTCTGTTGCTCCACTCTTTGCTGTTTTTGTTGTAAATGTTGAATATTAACAAGATGATTGATTAGATGACAGATTTTGTCAAGAAAATGTTTTTGTTGTAGATTGAGTTTCTTGTTGATCAATGACTGATTGTTTTTTTCCCTAAAAATCACTTCTCATAATAGTAAATCACTTTGAGACACAAAGAGTTATTTGTAGATTTTGTACGTTTAGTGTAATCTAAATAAAAAAAGGTGCCTTCAGTATATTAAAAATTTTAAAAATAACTGTCGAAAGTGCAGTTCTGAAAGTAATTTAAATGTTTGTTTATAAGTAGTCAGGTGATACAATAAATCCTGGATCTCTGATGGAATTAACATATAATGGATACAATAAGAGCAGATTATGCAAGAATCATCACTAACTCATTAGAGCTTCCTTCGGGACACGTAAGGCATTAGTCCTAATTTCTAAAAATTTAGTTCAGATTTATTTAGATCACAAAAGAGATGTTCTGGTGAAAATTTAGACTTTACCTGACGTCTGTCCTCAACACTTAGCAATTGTACATAAATCGGGATTTCTTCATTGGTGAGGCAGAGGATTAGAATAACTTTTCACTTTGCAATACCCATGTTATGGAACACTGGAAGATTTAGGTGGGAAAAGATAAATCTATGAGCAGTGCTCGAGCATTAACACTCATCAAACGTAATGACAAATCTTTAAAATGTCCTCTTTCTAAAAATGAATCAGTACTAAAACTTTTGTCTGCTCAGAAAAATCTGTCATCCTATCACCTTTTTAATATTTACTTCATATGTTTTCCAAGTTCACGAAATAACTGGGAAAAATAAAAGAGGCAAATGGATACAGCAAGAAAACAAAACTGATGCAAAGTAGTACAAAAAGCAATGTTTCAGATATTTTATATAGATCAGAGTATTTAAAAAATCTGTTGCATTTGTTTTTTTCTTTTGGATATACTAGTTTACAGTTTAAGTGAAAATGAATATTTATCTCCTCAAATGTACACAGTTTCTATTTTTTTTAAACTTACTGTAACAGATATTGCAACTCCATGCATTATCTTTATTAAATTTATGAATGGTTAATGTATCGTTATGTTTTATTCCATGGGAGAAGGCTAAAAACTCCTCCATGAGCTAAAATACAGTGAGCACTAAGACTAACCAATTCCATGGAAGTTCCAACCCTCCAGGTAGATTGCATATTCTAGACCAGGGTGGGTTTTGCAATTACTAGGAAAGAGAAAAAAGGTTTTTGATATAAAAAGAATGAGCTTCAACTGGTTCAGCTGCTTCATTTTGATTGAGCATATGGACATAACTGTCCAAAGGGAAGCCTCAATTCTTGCTAAAGGGTTAGAAGGAATGCTAGCCTATCCCACTCTCCATATGGAAGATAGGTGGTATATTTAATGTGGATTTAAATCTGGTATTGTTTTATCTGTAATGCTTTTGCTCTTTGAATAAATGTGCTTGGTTAGAAGAACTATATAGTCACTGGGAAAAACACTATCAATTGTCATCTGAAAGAAAGCCATGCAGGAGCTGACCTTTAACTACACTGGCTTGCTAGAAGTATCACAGTGGATAGTAGAGATCTGTGTAGTCATAAAAACCCAGTCAGAAAGTGCAAGAAAGAGTCCTACCAATAAAAGGGAGATAGAGACCTGAGTGCCATTCCTGGAGTGGAATGCAGGAGCAGTAATACAGGTACACTTAACCTGAAACCATGACACTTACCATAAAATTTTGCTGAAGGGGAGACCAAGAATACATTATGGGTACTGAAGCAACAGCATTCAGAGTCTTGAGCGGGATGACTTGTTTTGGAAAATCTAAGTCACTGGTAACAGAGCACTGAAATGAGAGGTAGAAATTACACTTCTTTCCTGGTAGCAATTTTTGACAAAATACAAAAACATGTTGCAATGCACCAAATTTAAACAGCATAATTAGATAAGTCTGCCTTTGGAAAAATGCATCAGTTTTGGGTGGTGGTATCAGGAACAGGTTTAATAAGCAAGAGCCATATTTTATTTGCAGAATATTTGCTAATAGTTTCTATAACATGGTGTTTCTGTTTCCCATCAAATGCAACGATATCCAGGCTCTCATGTACCAGCCATATACTCAGCCTACTTAACCAAATACAATCATGTTTTTCTATCATCTAAAACAGATTTAATATTTGACGATAAATTGTCTTATCTCTCATTTACAGTGTATTAACTGCAGGTTGAGCCTCTCTAGTCTAGCACTCTCTGGTCTGGAACCATCCATGGTCCAGCATAATTTAATTAGCCAAAAGTCCACTTATGAGCATGGCCAATTTTCCCACAGTCCCATAAAGTTTGTTTACAGCCGCTAGTGTTCTGTGCTGTTATTTAGCTCTAATTTACTCCAAAATATCTTCTAAGAGCCAAGTATGCATGGAAACATAGGCAATGCTAGAAAATACTGACTTCCTGAGGTCCAACAAATCCTCTTGTTTGGCACCAGTCAGATCTGGAGGATGCCGGACTAGGAAGGTTCAACCTTTAGTTAATAAATTGTCTCATCTGGCATCTACAGCGCATCATCAAGTATTAAAGAGAAATCATCCGGGTTTCACACTAAAGCACAGCTGAGATCAAATAAGAATTGCTTTTTACAAATGTTGATATGTTGAGCTTTTAATATCAGAGAGCTTACTTCAGCAAGTTATCACTTCAACTTGTCTAAGTCTTGACCTGCATTAAATCTCGATCCTATCCCAAACACTTTGACTATTTGTATTGTGTGCAGGTCCACAGCAAAGTGAAATTTACTCTAATACTGAACTCTGGATTGACAAACAAGGTTTTTAAATGACATTCTTTTAAGATTCACTTTTCTGCAGAAAAGTATCTTTTCCCAAAACAGAAAAGAATAAATACTACAAAAAGGGTGAGAAAGGACAGAACATTCACAATGTGAAGTGAGAAATGGTTTTAAAAACTAAACCATTTGGATAATTAACAAATTTGGTTAGCCCTAGAATACATAATCATTCTAAGCCAGGGCCTGAAAAATGTATTAACTCTTTTAATCGGAGGCACCTACATAGACAATTTCTATAGGCTCTATTTTTAAAAAGTTTCTAGCCCTTATAATTGCAAAGGTACCCCAATTATAGGCAGAGATGGTAACACTTAAAGCTGCTCAACATTTCCCCTTTGGGAACCCTGTTTAGAACTGCTTATAACTTTACCAAACTTTAATCATTCAGGCTGAATTTTTTCATGCCAAGTATAAGCCTGGCTGAAGGGCTGCTGGTTTGTTTCAGCTCAAACAATTCAGCCATTTGTCAGAACACATTTAGAGAAAAACACAGAGTTTTGCCCATGTTAAATTACCCCCCCCCCCCACACACACACACACAAAAAAAGCTTCATTGAGAAGCTGTAAAACTTGATGCCACAAGCTGACATTCAGCAAGGATAGAAGGGAAGGGATTCCTGTGTGTCATCGTATACCATGTACATTCCAGATTGAATGTCCCAAATCTGGGACTCTGATCCAGCAGCATCCATGGTCCAGCAGGGCCAGGGATGTTGCTGGACCCAAGAGCCCTGCAGCAATGGAGCGGCTGGGCTAGGTGACATCTGGGGAGCCCCCGCCCTGACCTGGAACCTCCAGGATCATCAGGGCCAGGCAGTGACCAGGGAGCCCCATATCCCGGCCAGGGAACGCACAGCAACAGCAGGGCCAAGCAATGGTCGGGAAGCTCCTGCCCAGGCTGGGGAACCCCCAGTGTTAGTTGGGCCACATGGCTCAGGAGTCCTGACCCCAGCCGGGCAACGCCCAACTGCAGCTGGGCTGTCTGTGGCCTACCAGCCCTGGCCAGGAACCCCAGGAAATCCCCAGGGGCAACAGGGCTGGGATGGCCAGGCAGTTTCTGCTAGGAAACCCCAGGGCTGGTGGAGGCAGGCAGCTGTAATCCCCAGCAGCAACAGAATGGCCCTAGGATCAGGGTGGGGAACCTCCAGTGGCTGGGTGGCCTCCGACAGGAACCCCAGAGAACATCCTGTGGCAACAGTCCCCACCAGGAACCCCTGGAAACCCTGAGGCAGTGGGTGGACAGGAAGATGGGGAGCCCCGTGGCTGGCCAACCTTAGCATGGTCGGCGGCAGGGTAGGGAGACCGATGGAAAGGAGCTACTGACCTCCCCTGATCCAGGACAGCTCAAGTCCAGAGGATGCCGGACCAGGGAGGTCCAACCTGTACACAAAAGACTCTCCCCCCATTATATAAAAGCACACATAAAATAACTATGTTTAAAAATACCTGCCTTATTCAGTATACAGGACTGGCAATTCACCTGGAATGACTACCTATTCAATATTTTGTTTTATTTTCAGTGTCCCCGTGCCTTATTTACTGCACACTATTCAAACACTGCTTAAAAGACAGCAATGCTAATGTCCTCGCAGGCTTTCCTATGGCACTCCTCACTACATTATTTCAGTGCTTCACAAACATACTTTTTTTCCCAAAAAATACACATTGAGTCCAGTTGTAACTGCAAGTCCTCAGCACTTCTTCAAAATCAAACCCAAGATCTCAAGCTAGGAATCCAAAAAATGTGGAAAACTTCATCATCAGCCTCTTGTGAAGTGTAGCACCATACAGGAACTTTGCAGCACAGACAGGGACAGAGTCCAGTTTTTCAAAGGAGGAATGCAGAAGTGCCTATTGACTAGTCGAGAAGTTGATGGAAATTCCATCGACTACTCGACTAGTAAATTAACCGATATTTAACATACTTAGTCTGGGGCAAAGTGGCAGAGAATCATAAAGGGGATTTAAAAATTGACTTCATCCTCTGAGGCTCTTGTGGATTTCAAAGGAGGAATGAGGAACTCCACATGAAGCCCAAGGCCAGTGGGAAGTTCCGCTGATCCCGGGCTGCATACAGTTGTGCCAGCTTTGAAATGTACAAGAGTCCCTAGTGGAGGCCCTAGCAGGAGCCTGGGATCAACTCCTTGCAGCGCTGCTTTGAAATGCTGCAGCGGTGTTTCAAAAGGACAGCACCAGACAGCTGAGCCCAGGATCAGCTGTGTGGTGCTGCTGCTTTGAAGTATCCCCTCCCCCCCCCCCCCCGTGGGGGGGAAAGGGGAGAGAGAAATCCACTAGAGAATCTCTTGTTAACATGAGTCATTATGCCGGGGTCAGAGAACCTAACCCATCAAGGGGCTGGGGCACACAGTCTACTAGCTGGGCCTCCTTAGGCTCAGTCAGGGGCCAAATCAGTGAAGGGTTTTTGAGGGGTTTCCCCCCCCCCCCCTTCTCACGTTTGTGCAGCCCCTGACGGATTTTTGTGGTCAAAAGCCCCCAACCCAAAAAAGATTCCCTACGCCTGCATTATTCAAACCAAGAACAAGGCAGCAGGGTCATATGGCATACGAGATGTACATGTTTGGAGGTAAAGAAATGGTAGAGGAAGCACGACAAACTTTTTTCTTCATATCTACTATAACAAGAAGATTTCAGAAGACTTGAGAAATGCTAACATTGTCGTATCTCCTTTCTTAAAGATTGTAACAGAGTGTGGAAACCACCATGTCATCAAAACTGGGACTACGCAAGGATATGTTACTGCCTCATTTTGTTCCTTGCTAAAGATCATCTCTCCAGTGGAGTTGACATCCAATATATAATGGATGGGCAGCTCTTTAATCTTAGAGGTCTTCACAGAAGTATAAAATCTTCAGGGCATCTTTTACTCATCTTCAGTATTCTGATGCATACTGCTCACACACACTGAGAATGAACTTTAGTCCATACTAGATTTCCTTACACAAGCTTACCAACATTTAGTAGTCTCAAAATTGAGAAGACTAAAGCGCTCTATTAAATCTGCTTTAGGCTTTGCACATGAGCCACCACAAATCACCATCAAGGGTCAGACTTTGGATACAGTTGAGTACTTTTGCTACCTCAGCACCCAAATTTCTCAAAATACAAGAAACAGCAGTGAGGTCCCTATGTGATTCCTTTCGAAATTACTCGGTCGTGTTTTCATGGACCGTGACCTATGGCAGGGCACCAACACAGAGGCTCTACAAGACAACTGTTGTTCCTATACTCCTGTTCAAAACTTGGGTGACTTATCAATAGCACCTCAAGAGTCTGAAAGGTACCATCAACTATGCCTCCAGAAAATCCTCCATCTCAAGTGGCAATAAGATGCACTAATGCCAGAATCCTCTCTGAAGCCAATATCATCAGAAATGAAGCAATGATCCTCATTCACCAACTACCTCTGAGCTACACATTTTGTGCAGATAACAGACTTTTAGCTCCCCAAAACAAATCCTCTCCTCTCAGCTTACCCATGGTCAGAGATCCAGTGGTGGTCAGAGGAAATACGACAAAGACACACAAAAAATATCTGAAAAAAACCTGATGTGGACATCACCAACAAACCCCTGTGGGGAAGGGAGGGGACTTTCTCCAGTTGGCTGCTGGCCTGTCATGAAATGTCTAACTATTGCAGGCAGAACTGCCCCGACGCCATGCAGTACTTCTGCTTTGAAGATGGGGAGCCCCATGGCTGCAGGGTAGGGAGACCGATGGAAAGGAGCTACTGACCTCCCCTGATCCAGGACAGCTCAAGTCCAGAGGATGCCGGACCAGGGAGGTCCAACCTGTACACAAAAGACCCTCCCCCATTATATAAAAGCACACATAAAATAACTATGTTTAAAAATACCTGCCTTATTCAGTATACAGGACTGGCAATTCACCTGGAATGGCTAACTATTCAATATTTTGTTTTATTTTCAGTGTCCCCGTGCCTTATTTACTGCACACTATTCAAACACTGCTTAAAGGACAGCAATGCTAATGTCCTCGCAGGCTTTCCTATGGCACTCCTCACTATTATTTCAGTGCTTCACAAACATACACCCCAGCACCCTCACCACTCTCCCCCCACCTTGCTGCCTCTTTCTGATAGAGGCAGAAAGGAGTGGGGTGGAGCAACTAGTTGACTAGTGTGTCAACTATCTGATAAATTTTTGCTTATTGGATAGTCGACTAGTCGCTTACATCTCTACTCTCCTTTTCATCAAATCATTTCACACCATAAAGTCAGCATACTAGTAGGGATGTAAAATACCGTTTAACCAATTAAACTACATATTTAACAAGTTAACTGGCCCATGTGGCATATCATGAGCAGCTAGAGCACTCCCCACCCACGGCACCACATTATGGGCCCAGCTGGGCTGGAAGGCTCACTGCATTACAGGCAGTGGCTGTTTCAGCCTGGTCAAGCACAGGTTAACAGTTTACACTGATAAGCATGTCAGTAAGGCAATGATTACTGGGCAATCAGTTAATCAGTTACCCCTTTACATCCCTAACTACTATTTTAAGTACGCTGACATTATAGTTTTACAGTTCAAACTACACTCATTTTCAACTTACTTATGTCAGGTCTACACAAAAGGAGAAGGTTGAATCAAGATATGTAACTCCAACTACATTAATTATGTAGCTGGAGTCGACATACCTTGATTCGAGTTTCCCTGCTGTTTCTACAACAGGAGGCCGATGGGAGTAAACACTCCCGATGGCTTCCTTTACTCCTCATAGGAACACTAGCCACCAACTGGAGTGTCCTCTGAATTCGATTTAGTGGGTCTTAACCAGACCCACTAAGTCAAACTCCAGAAGATTGATTATGGCAGTGTCAATTTTCACTGAAGTGAAGCCATAGCCTTAGTTAAGCCAGTGCAAATACTGTAATAGAAGCAAGGGTTATACAAACTAATCTATTCACTATTTTCTTTTATTTTATGAAGCGTAGCCCTGATACAGTTCTCATTTAAGCCAACAGTTTTTCTACTGACGTTATTGACAGCTAGATCACATCCCAAGTGACCATGAGACAAGGCAGCCTGATTAAAGAATGGTAATATGTGGCCTAAGCATTTTAAGCAGCAAAACGAGTCTTAATTTTATGTATGTTAGGATCTTAACTAAGTAGCATTGTATTGATTCCCTCTCAGGAAGCATCTGATAGGAGTAATAATCAATAGTTCTTAGAAAGGAGCTAAGGTTTCATATGAAAAGAACATTAATGGCTACCACATGCTCTGCCAGCTGACTTTTCACCAGTAAAAGCTCACAACCTTGTAACTAGAATTACCACAACACGTTAACCAACCTCCCTGGTCCCACGCAATGAGCTCACAGAAGTCATGATGTGTACAGGCTGTATCCTACGTAGTTTCCATTCTTGATTTAAGATTTCTGTTCTTTCCAGTATCTTCTGACGATTAGAATTAAACATACTCTATTAATGAAAAAATTGTGAATGTTGTAAGCAAATTAAGAAAAAAGTCAAAATTCATTTAATAACCTCTTCAAGTAGTATCAAATCTGCTTTATTAAAAAAAAATACATATTTGAAAACACTAAGAGTACATCTAATCAGCAGTGTTATTTCAGAATAACTGATGCTACAGGAATTCCTCATTTAACACTGGAGATATGTTTCAGAAAATGATCGTGTTAAGTGAAAATGTGTTATGCAGGGTCAATTTTTCCATTGAAAATAATGGAAAAGGTGGGGTTTGCGTTTTAAGCGGTGGTGTCTGTTAGGACCAGGACATAAGGTTGGGGGAGAAAGGGGACTGGGTTACAGCAGGGAGGGGAGGTGTTTGGCTCTGGGGAAGGAAAGGGGAGGGGAAGAGAAGGGAGGGGGATTGGGTTGGGCGTATGCCCCTGTGACAGGTCTGACGGGACCCGCACTGCGTCTGGCGACGGGGGGGGGTTGCTGGGGAACGGCATGGTGAGCGGCGAACCCTCCTCTACTGTGCAGGGAGGCGGGGGAAGCCCCGCGCAGCTGCCGGCAAAGGGCTGGCTGGGGGTCACCCAGTCACCAGCCTGCAAGCGGGGGCGGAGGAGAGGGGACAAGGCGACCGGTGAGGGGGAGCAAGCGGCGAACACTCCACCGCTTTGCAGGGAGGTGGGGGAAGCCCCGCACCGCTGCCAGCAGCCCCGCGCAGCCGCCAGCAATGGGCCAGCTGGGGAAATCGTGTTATTCCAGTGGCAGTCATGTAATTCAAAAAACGTTTCAAAAAAATCGTGCTATCGCAAAAACGTGTTAAGCGGGCACGTGTTAAATGAGGAATTACTCTATTTCAAAGTAACACAGACTACATCTACACTACAAGCAGTTATTTTCACATAATGTCAAGATAATGTCAAGCTGGAGGACTCATTTTATAACCCCCATTTTACGAGTAGTAAGGGACATAGGAGGAAGAGTGTTCTCTCAGACTTCTGCTGTGTAGACTGTGCCAAAATAAGCTATTGCAGCTTAAGCTATGAAACTGACATAACTCAAGTTGCATTGCTTAGTTCAGCGTTAGCCCTGCTGTGTAGACATGCCCTAACTACACTAAGCAAGAATACATAAAATTAACACCACTCATTTTCAGCACTTCTATCTGTTTTGAGAAGTATTTTCCTCTAAAATATCTAAATAAAAAATTATTTAAGTTATTTTTCTTTAAAGTAGTCATGTTCACCAGCCTATATTCCCATTATTAAACAATACAAAACCACAGAGAAACTCAATTGTAAGTTATTCAGGCTTGATCTCAACCATGATATTGGGTTTGGGGTTTTGGGTTTTTTTTAATTGAAAAAGGATAGTCAGTCATTTCTGAATTATGGGAAAGTGTAAAAAAAATTGAAAGCTTTTATTTATTTTATTTTTTTGTTAAAAGGCCAAGCCATCTCAGCCCTTTCCCCCTCTACATTAAAGGAATTAAACAAAAAATGGGGGGAGAAAGAGCATGGTACAAAAGCACCGAACCAGTTCAATGTTTTCTGTGGACAAGTACTGAAACTAACTGATGTTTATCCCTCTTTCCTTCTCTTCCATGCAAGCCATTTCTGAACGTTTGGAGATCTGGAGTTTCACAGTGGTGCTGGAGAGCAGGGAGGATATGGCAACTCTCCACAGAAACAACTCCCCTAAAACCTGCAAGAATTTTTCAAGCAAAAATGAATACTGATCTTTGGCATATCTAGATTAAATTCAATGTGTAACTAAATTTGTTATGTAATCATCTGCCTACAAATTCATAATTCTACACATTAACACAATTTTTGGTAGTAGCTAGTTCATGTTAATTGAGATGTGAAATACCTTTTATTTAAAAAAAGTGTTTAAATTTGGTTAAGAAAAATCATATTTTCCAAATATATACATATAATATATTGCTATGTGCACAAGTTTAATTCTAATTTATATTTCAGAAAAAAAATCCATTCCAATGCCTACCATATAAAGACTTCAATGAAGGTGATACCGTTGACATACCTTAACTTCATCTGCCCGGCGGAACCTCTTGAGCTGTCTCAGTCTCATGTATTCCGATTTTACACGCTTCCGCCAACAAATTGGTCCCTTTTCAGATTTCTTTCCTGTCTGACCCATGATTATCCTGTAACCAACGATGTCACATTAAGATTCACTGACCTAGACACTATAATTTCGATAGAGTCTTATAGATAATTTTAGAGTGATGAATAGATTGACAACAGTTAAGGGAAAAAAATCAGACATTTACAAAAAAGAGTTAACCTTTCAGGACTTGATCCTGTAACATGCTATACAGTCTGGCCCCAATGTAGCAAAGCAGTTAAGCATGTTTTTAATATTAAGCATGGGAGCAATTGCAAAGGAGTTACTAATGTGCTTACAGTTAAACACATGCTTAACTGCCACTCTGCTCAGCACCTTGCAGGATTGAGCCCTTATTCAGGAAATCAATGGGAAAGTACAGATGCTGAAAAAAAACTCTTCACACTATGAAGTAACTAAAGTTTTTGGAAGTTAAACTTTCTAGTTATAATTCATATTTTAGGTAAGCATGTCAGCAGTTAACCGGTAAGAATCTCCCCTATTAGGCAATGCTTAGCGGTGAACCCAGCCAAGCCCACCATGGCTTGGGCTATAACGTTCCAGCCCAGCTACGCCCACTGCACTGCATCGCAGGCACTCCAGCAAAGCTGGAGCAGCCTCCTGCCTGCAGCAGGCCCAGACAGGCTGTAGTAGACCCCCGTCTGTGCTGCACCACAGGCAGGGACCCACCCCAGCCTAGTCCCTTACCCACAGGATCCAGTTTAACCGCTTAACTGATTAAACGAGTTTACATCCCTAATTTGAATATCAAGCTGGAAACCACGTTACTGCAAATATCACCAAAGACAGAGGAAACCAGAATAAGCTATTTAAACTACTTACCACTGCAAAATGTTTTAACTATAACAGCATTATTGTATAAACACGTATTATGGAAATAAGAGTTTAAAGGTGAATAAATCCACAAGATAGACAAGAAAAATTCTCCAGCTATAGTAAAGGAAGCTATTTACAACAGGAATGTAAAATCCTAGTTAATCAGTTAACAGATTAAATGTTATTTTTAACCAGTTAACTGCTTAAATAGGGTCAGAAAGGGCTGCTCTGGCAGGGCCGCCGGTTAACCGGAGCCAGTAAGTATCACCCAGTAAGAGTGATGCTTACCGGTTAACCATTCATGTCCCTAATTTTCAACTGGTCCTAAACAGTGTCCCCTGTAAGCTAGGCATTGTGTGGCCACTTAGGAAAGATTCAAATGCCACCGTGCTGATAAAAAGAGCTCCCACTGCTAGGTTTTTGTTTCTACTGGTGGTGCACATTCACACATGTCTAAGTGCACACAAAATATTTATTCTTCAAATGGGTGGAAAAGATTGAAGGGAACATTGGTTCTAAATCCTGGATAGAAAAAGTATCCCTTTAATTTATAAGATTTTTTCAAACAAATATTAACAAAACGAAAAAAAAATGAGATGTATGTGTGCTCTATTAAAACAAATGTGCACATTTTGCCAATATACCCTTGTAATGGTCTCATAATGCCAAATACAGCTGTCATCATTTAAAAGTACATTGCGCTTCCTGGCTACCAACAGTGCTAGAACTTCTAAAATAAAGCCATTCCCTCAAGACTTACATACACTAAAGAAATGAATTGCTACAACCTATTGTATTTTATTTGAAGTACTTTTTCTTGCAGCAGTCCATTATATTGACAATAGACACCCTGTCCAGCAGAGCTGAAAAAAAAAAAAAAATCTACTGACCTGACAAAAATAGCAATCTCTTTGGCAAGTGTCATCAACTTCTGCAAAATCATTTCTAGCTTTTGTGGTTGTGAAGATAACCTTCTAAATGTAAACTAATGCCAGGTCTACATTAAAAAGTTAGGCTGCCCTTGCAATGTCACAATGAGATGTGAAAAAAAAAATTGACCACATTAGCTCAACGGAAGAATTCTTTCGCTGATCAAGGTATCGCTTCTCAGGGAGGTGGATTAACTAGAGCAGCGTGTCAACTTTTTTTTTTTTTTAATAAAGTATCACTTAAAAAAAATATTATAAGTATCCCCAGTACCTACAGTTTTCAGAGACACAATTTTTTTTCTACCATTGCAACACATTTGTTTAAACAACTTAATCACAGCAAAGCAGGCGATGAAATTTTTGGGTGTAAAAAGTACAAAAATAAGAAAGCACTGTAAAACTTAAAACAAAAATTAAGTTTTCTTCAAATTTCAGTTGTGTTGATGTATCCCCCCAGACTTCTACTCTTATCACTGGTTGAGAAATACTGAACTAGAGGGATGAGATCTCTTTCCATTCCTTTAATGTGCAGCTGCACCAGGGGTCAGCAATCTTTCTGAAGTGGCAAGCCAAGACTTAACCCTCCTACCCTGGGCCATGTCCCTCTCCCAGGAGGGGTCCTCTCCATTACGCACCCCATGGACCACTTGGGTCAATGCAAACCTTTCCACAGACTACCAGTTGCTAATGGAAACACACTGTTAATTACATAATTATGCACAAGCAATTGCTAGTGTTGCATCTGGGGAGAACGGTTTAATTTAAATTATTAAACAGATTAAGCATTTTAGCTTTCTCATGTTAGTTTATTAAAATTCATTTTAAATAAAGTTAAATATGTCCAACACAAAAGATTTCAATGTTTTGTTTATGTCTGGCAGGGGCGGGGAAACCATTTTTGGGTAAAATTGTGTCCACCCCTCACATCTTCCCTCTGCTCCAGACTCACTATCCTCAGCCCTATGATCCCCCCGCCATCAGATCTTCTGCATCGCCCCATGCCCCTCAGTGCAACCCCTACCCCCTCCCATCCTGCCCCCGCATCCTTCTTCACCCCGCTCCTGCCCTCACAACCCTGGGTCCCCAGCATACTCACCAGCAGGCCAGCAACGCTGGATTGAGGAAGATATTGCATAAATGAATAGTAGTGCAACAGCATGAAATCTTAGCAGTTACACGACTATTCGATAGCCCCCGGGAGATAGCAGCGCGGGCTGTCTGGGGGCTCCCCAGGAGTGGGGCCAAGAGCGCACTGGCTGCCAGCCCCACTCCCGGGGGCTATCGAATAGTCGTGTAACTGCCAAGATTTCATGCCTCTGCTACGGAGGCAGCAGTGCGGGGTGGCAGCAGCCCCTACCAGCTGCCTCTGTCTGCGAGGAGTTTGGACACCCTGTGGACAGGGGCTGCTGTCGCAGACTATCCTCTGTCGCAGACTATCCTCTGTCCACAATGGGCCCAGGCTTACCATGGACAGAGGCTACTCCATGGGCTGCCTCTTATACCATGTAGTTAGCAAGATTAACCAATAATCCTAGACTTACCGGTTAATCATGTAGTCTATTACACGGTGACATTCCTAATGTCAAGTTTAAATTTGTCTCCCACTACCACATGCTACTTTAGTAATTTCCTAACCATCTCTTTTGTAAGACTATCACTTGACCCTCATTAAAACTTTAGATGAAATTGTATTCGTAACAGGAAACTAAAAATCGATTAAAGTGCAGTTACACCCATCCTTCTTCACAAACACACTGCAAAAATAGCATCCATGGTGAACTTCCAGTTAGTATCTAGAATAGTCTTTTGTTCATGGCCCTTGCCTTTACTTCAAGAATTTGGCAAGCTGCTCTCACAATATATGCAGCAGAGCATTGCCCAAGATGCTGAGATGTTATACATGTTATGCTGAAACATTCCCATGAGTATCAAAAAACTTCCCTCTGCTACATCCTCAAACAATTCAGATACTGGGAGAAACGGTGGGAAGACTGGGAGCACAGTTTCCCACTAGCATGTGGATAAAAGAGTTACAATAGAGCGGTCCAACGAATTATGCCAAAGCATACCTTTTCCTTGGCACATCTTTCTGGCCCCAAAACCGTTCAATTTTTATTTCCCTTCACCTTTTAATCTCTGCTGTGACTGTTAAAGCCATCGTACCTCTCCTCTGCCTTTCTTAATATCAGAAGTAAATTCCTTTCCCTCAGAATATGAAAATAACATGTCACACTCTAAATTTTCTTTTTTTTTTAAATTTAAAGGCAAATTTAAGACTCATACAATAGTAAAAAAAAATACACCTAAACAAACTAAAATTGTATGTATAAAACACTGAGACACTGTAATAGTAGAGTCCTCTCACCGCTCTGCAAGCTTGGAAAGTGTCTCTCCTCTCACAGGTTTCTCAATGTCTTTTCTCTTACCATAAACAAGTACGAGAAAAATCCACGTTTGTTAAGCCAAACCCACACCTCTCTGGGTTGTCATTATGCTAGAATATGCTGTCAACCTGCATCTCTTTAAATGCACCTCCTTTCTGGCCCTTGGGTTATTGTCATAGTGAAATCCTTATTGTGACACTTTCTGGGATAAGAACCCTTTGGTCTGTGCACAAAACCTCAAACTATAGATAAGGCTCCAAACCAGGGATGTGACTGACTAGTCGACTATCCGATAAGCAAATGCTTATCAGATAGCTGACATACTAGTCGACTAGACACTTTCTCCACCCTTGTTGCCTCTATCAGAAAGAGGCAGCAAGTGGGAGGGAGGTAGCAAAGGAGGAGGTGCTTCAAAGCAACAGCACCATATGGAGCCCAGGTGCAGCTGGGGACTCCCCAGCTGACCCTGGTCTCCACCCAGGGCTGCCACTTTGAAACACCACAGGGAGCACAGGGCCGGGGGAAATGCTTAAGTCCCCCGCTGGCCCCATGCTCCCTGCAGCACTTTCGTCTTTGAAGAGTAGCAACAGCGCTGGGATTGTTGCTAAATTTCAAAGGCAGAGGCACCCTTATCGACTAATTGAATAGTAGATGCAAGTTGCATTGATATTCAATTAGCCAATTAATCTAAATTTAACACCCCTACCCCAAACACCATTTCCCCATCCCTGTAAGTCAAAAAAGATTTTCTCTGAGTAACATACATTTGGGGTAGCAAGAAAGATATTTCCTATGCATCATCTACTCTAACCCTTTTGTCAGAGACTAACTGTCAGGAATTAATTTCCCTCCCTTAACTTCAAGGGTCTCTCTAATTCCTCTTTCCTCCA